ACAGTTTCCATCCGGGGAAACATTTTATGGATGTCAGGGCAGCAACTGGAGAGATCTGAAATGACAGCATGCTGCTGAGCTTGATAAGAGCTTATCAACACAGCTACGCAGCTGATGTTTGGTGTTCCTCGCGAAGCAGAATAAAATGAATGTGTTGATTTCAATCGAATTTCTCACAGATAAGAGCGTCTATCAGAGAAACCCCTCCTCACACGTACACGCATGCACACTTATCACTAGCAGTATCGGTCACCCCTGAATTCAGCAGAGACTTAAAGTTGGATGGGGCATAAGGACTGCTCTTGGAGGGAGAGTGCTCTCGTGGGATGGATCGATGCACGCTGGTGCGGGAGTAGGAAGGCTGTAGTGCAGTTGAACGTTGCAGAACAGAAAGGAATTCTGCGGAATTGGCAGGCTTTTCCCTTTTGCCACAAGACCTGTCATTTGCCTTCATTGCCGTCACCGTTACCACTGTCCCTGTCCTTCGGGAGACATAACTGGAGGGTGTGCTCGTTGGTGAGGAGCCTGTTGCCAAGTCGGGTTCAGTGTGCAGCCTGTGTACCTGTTGCCTGACAAGTGATGAGTTTGTGAGTCAGACACGCTTGCTCTTGTGGAATTAATTAAATGAATCCAGTAAAAACACCACTTCTTGTCTCCCACCTAGCTGTGTCCACTACTCCTGCGAAGCCACCGACTGCCAAAAGCTGGAGATCGAGAACGCGCTGCTGAACTGCACCAGTGGCGGGTGGTACAACGGTGCCCAGTGCAACGTGAGCTGCAAGACGGGCTACGTTTTGCAAGTCCAGCGAGACGATGATCTCAGCAAGGGACAGGTTTGTTCTGCTCCTTTTGTGTCACTCACAAGACAGGGATGAGCAAACAGATGTGGAGAAACTGAGAAATAACTCGGCCTAAAACCCCAAATCTCAGCTCAGCCTTGGGACAAGGCCTTATCCAGATACTTCTCAGCAGAATAAAAGCCATCTGACTCTGTAGGAAGAGGAACTGACAGTGAGCAAAGCTCAGGTATTCCCCAAATTTAGAAAATTTCGACCCGAAAGGTTTAAATATGTGTTCAGGCCTTCTCTGATGTCACTGGCTCTACTCAGCCAAACAGTGTTTCATGGGTTGTTTTTCTGGGGGTGGGATGTTTGTTTTTTTGCACAACCGGTTTCTGGGCAAAATACCTAGTTTTTATTCCTTGGGTTGAGGCTAACAATGTCTTAACTCCTTTGCAGTGTTTCAGTCCATCTGCTCCCAACCACACCCTGACACTGCAGAAATACATGGTGTCAAGGGGGTGGAAAAAGCAGCCAAACCTTTTTGCTTCCGAACAGAGCGCCGAAAACCTGCCCCAGTGGGCCAGGGAGTGCTCTCCATCTTCTCCAAGCCATGCATTAATAATCCAGTCCTACAAAAGCGGCACGTCTCGGTGCAGTGAGTGAGGTATCGAGGAAAACTATCCATTTCTTTAAGCATTAAAAAAGTGCAGGTGCGTTGCCCTGGAGGAGGTGGACGAGGTGTACGTGCAGCGTGGCCCAGCCTCGGCGTGCCGCTGGGAGCCGGGTGCACGGGAGACGTGGGTGCAGGTCGGGCACCCCAGGTTGCGCTCTCATCTCTAACGCTGCCGGATCCCGTCAGCGCGACGAGCGGGTGGTTTCCCCCATCGGCACCTTTGGCGCGCTGTCGGGGCAGCGCACACATCTGGGGCCGGGGAGCGCTGGGCGCCGGCAGCCGCGCTCAGCAGCCTGTCTGCGTTTGTGAAATACTGTGTTCCTCATCCGCGCGCGGAGGGGGAGACGGAGCGGAGGGGAATGAGTCAGCCCTTTCAACTCAATTACAAAACAAATACAGGACCCCACGAGCTGGGCCTCTTCCATCCTAATTGGCATCAGCACCAGAACCCCAGCTCCAGCTGAGCATTTTTACAGAACAGAAAACAAGTTCTCAAACGAGCCTGAATGGCTGAACCAGGAAATAGTTGGAAGGGATCTGTACATTGAGCACACAGGAATCCCAACCCAAATAAAACAGCCTGAACATGTTTCACCAGCGCTGTGTTATTTAAATGCAAGAAGTACCTTTTGGGGCGGCTCAGCCAACTGTATATGGTTTTGCTTTGAGAAGTTTGGTTTCAGAGCCTTGATCAGACTCATATGACAGGAGGGGAGGATTTTCGCACCCCTAGCTGACGTGATTCACTGCCTATTACAACATGCTTCCTCTCACCCCGGTCTGCTATTGCACTTCTTCGTCTTTTTTCCACCAATAAAAAGCCTGAGGCCAATGGCTTTGTTTTGCCCAGCGCTGTGTGTTCACTGTTCAAATCAGGGAAGGAATGGAGCATCGTAAAGATACCCGTGTTCAGCTAAGCACATTAAACACGTGCTTTAAAAGTTTATTCGTGTGCTTCGGCGATCTGTTGAAAAGAACAGACAGTTTCTTTCACTATCGTCTTGGTTTATTTCTTTGTGTCAGGTGCTTCAAACCAGAGCTTGTGGAACGTGTAGGCAAGAAATGAATTATCTGAGAAAGTCCGGAATCCGTGGTTTGGATTCCTCGTATTGTGTTGTATTGAATTGCATTGTGCTCCTTTCACAATTGGTTCCCGGCTTCAGCTTCTCTTCTGATCCCAAGCATCTGGAGATGAGATGGGGCATGTGTGGTATTTGCTATGGTCAGAGGGACCTTCTGCCATGACTGAGGAACCTTGCACAAAGCCATTGGTTGTTTCGTTGTCGCCATTTAGTTGGATATTTTGCTTGTTTGACTGAGTTGAGGGTCTAGAGCTATTTTTTTCTCATTTAACTGACGGGGGGGGGTGCTGCACGAGGAAGCGGAGGAAGGAAAGTAGCTTTGCGCATGCTGGTGTTTCACACTGTTGGTTAGGAAGGAGGCTGAGGTGAGGTGCAATGTCTCAAAGAGCAGACTGAACATTGGTGGCCCGTGACCACTGCATGCTGATGAAGATGATTGACAGACCTGTGAAAATACCCTGGTTTAGCATCTGAACCACATTTGTCTTCTGTATTTCACTGAAAGGCAGAAAAAAAGGGTGAACAGAGAATTAAAAGCAAAATTTTCAAAAGCACCTCAGAGGTGTAGGGGCACAAGTCACATTTCAAACCAATCTTTTACATCTAAGGGGTCTTTGAAAATCTTCTTAACAGTTTCTGCACTTTCCGGCCTCTGTGTCTTCTGAAGTCACCATTTTAATCAGTCTTAGGGCAAGAAATTCATTCATGTCTGCTCTCTGAGAAGCTCCCGTTTCCAAATTCTGTTAAAACTCCATAAAATCACCAAACCCTAAAAACGTCAGCGCTATGTGCAGCCGAAACTGTTTGCTGTTTGAAAATAAAAAAAAGCGGAGCTGTTTGCAGACTCTTGGGCTCTCTCTCACCCTCATTTAGGGACTTTAGCAACAACAATACAAAAAAGGTTTGCATAGTGATGGAGTAAAATTCTTCATGTTTCTTTCTTGCAAGAAGATCTCGGGATGTTTTCATTTCCCCCCGATTTCGTCCCACCCCCCTGACAACTCCATCATTCGTTCTTCTCTTCTTCCCTTCTCCTCCCTTTGTCTTTCACTGCTTTCCTCCCCCTTGTCCTTCGCCGAAAGCCCCGCTCATTCAGTGCCTTGTTGTCATCTCTCCTTGAAGCTACCACCACTGCTGCTCTGGTCAAGAGGTGTTATTTAAAACCCAGCAGCTCCCTAATGTTGTGCAAAGGCATCATCAATCATGCCAGGAAAAGAAAGCGCGGCTCATGTGTGTTCAATTAGAGGCACAGTAGTGGGCAGAAGTGGAAGAATACTTAGAGGGGAGGGCACAGCTGTTCATTTTTAAGGAGAGGAAACTTCACACGTGAAGCATTGCTTGAAGAAGGAGCCGGCTGGGATCTTGGGCAGCAGGAAGGAGACATGAATTCTCCCAGGCTGTTAAAAGTCCCAAGAAACAAATCTTTCTGGCACCAGATTTGTTTAAGTGTGCATCCTCTTCACTGTACGGCACACTGTATCTTTGGAGGCCCCTTTTTTTTTTCCCTCTCTCTCCTCCTTGCCCGCCCTCCCTCCTTGCGTAAGCCTCTTTTGGAAGGCAGGACATGAAGGGAAGCGGTTGCTGCGATGCCAGTCAAAGCAGCACAAAGTGCCCAAAGTGACAGCTAATAAACCAGATGAGAAAGCCAAGTGCTTCCTATGGGCTGCTGTGAGCTGGGTGACCTTGTCAGATCAGACAGGCGAAACAGGCACGTGCCTGCTCAGGCTTCGGGTGGGAGATGCAGATGCTGCCGCAGAGACCCGGTGCCGGATCCAAAGGCAGCGCCGCTCAGGCTGTCGATGGGAAATAGCCCCGAGGTGCCGCCAGTGTTGGGGAGAGCCAGGCTCCTGCTCAGGAGCCCGGGGTCCTGCCCGGCAATGATCCCACCTTTGGGTGGGACGTTGCAAGAGGGAGAAGCTGAAAGCTGGTGGGTGCCGTCTGCAATAATTTCCATGTTAGGGTTGTCCTCTGTACTTTCAACCAAAGTCACTAGTCTTTGTCTCCATAGCGGGGAATGTTCTCTGTTATATTCTGCTGCAGAAATGCATATGCTCCTATTGCTTGAAGTGATGACATGATAGACATGCTCTAAAATGTGCCATTATTATGTCTGACCTTGAAAACCTCAGCTTCCATCATACAAAGTGTGGAACAAATTACTGGAAAAAGCTGAGAAGCCAGGCTCTTACCCACATGGGCACAGCTTCTCTGCATGGGAATGGCCTTGCTAGTGTGCCAGGAAGAGGAAAAGCCATATGGGTCTGGAAGAAGGTGACTCTTCCAGATTTGGTTAGTGGTTTTGTTGGGGAGGTACCACGGGGGAAAACACAGAGATGAAAACATGGAGAGACTAATTTTTTTCTTCACATCAAGGTCTAGAGCAGGGGCAGAAATAAAGTGCAGGGGGAATATAGCTTTAATGAGGGATCCCTTCCAAGGAGGGGTGACCCCAGGCACGTTGCGTTTCCAGCAGACCGTAGCGTCCTGCAGCTTTCTGCTAACAGACACCACGGCTGCAGCTGAAATACTCCCACAAATGTTACTTGGGCAAAACATTCTTGCCGATTTTCTGTGAGGTGTGACTGTCATGCACAGATATTGCTCCTGCTTCAATTTTTGTGTTATGTTTCAGATTCTGAATTTGCACTGTTTATTTGGTGTTCCGTAGAGGTACATCTGATGTGCAACCCCGTCGTTAGAGAAACTCCCTTGTGCACCATACTGTGTCTCTGCAGCCAGTATCAGCTAGTAGGAACAATCGTTTATTCCTAAACTAGATCACACCAACACTAACAACTGAATTTTTGGAGTTGAATTCTCCTATCACTGATAGAGCTTCCCCGTGCTCAGCATGGATCCAGCATGCAGCAAGACACAGCGCAAGACCCATGTCTTTTCCGTAACGTGTGGATAATTCCTGACATCAATAGCTTGGTTTTATGTTTTTTACCTCCTGCTGTCGAGGTGCCCAGCAGCCACAGTGCTGGAGTGTTATTTGATGATAGCATCTGTTAAGGGAAATGGAGGCTTTGCTGAATGCTGGAGCAAGCCCAGCCTGGAGCGCAAATGTGGTGGTGACGCTGCTGTGTGTATGCCTTATGAAGACATGGAGATACGCTGTATCGTCCCTTCTCCTGTGGCCATCACACCGCAACTTCCTGGAAGCACAGGCATCTTCAAGTCATCAACTGGCTACAGGATATGTGCACTCTTCCATGGTGCAGATACTCTGATAAGCAGCAAAGGCAGAATTAATAGCCACTGGGGAGCAAAATGATTGGGAGTGAGAACGCAGAGCGTCACTTCACCTGAGCGCTCCGAGAATCCCGGAATGTGCTACTCTGAATTTGTAGAAAAGGCATTTTTTTCCATCAGCAGTGCTCCCTGTTTAAATAACTCCGTGGTCTAGAAAAGGGGTTTTGTGCCCACTTGGGAAGTGTCCAGTTTCTCAGCTCTGGGACTGCTTTTTCCATTCTGAATGCAACCATATATCAAAGGGAGACAGGTCTGAACTTCTGTTGAAACCATTAGGGTGTTTTTGCAAAAAGGGAATCCAGGTCCCTTTGATGTGTGCTAGAAAAATTCCCCTTCCTTTTATAAACCCAGATCAATGGTCGGTGGTGCAAATCTCCTGTGAGCGTACCAGCCCTGAATAAAATATTCCCTGGAGGCAGAGGAGTGCTGCTGTACGGCTTGGTCAGATTCCTCGCCGGTATCTTCCCCTTCTCGTGTTTAGGTTTCTTACATTTCTTTTTCTTCTGTCCCTCTCTTTACCCTGGCATGGAGGGAAGAGCCCTACTTTCAGATTCTTCACTTCTAGTTTTTAATAATTCTCCCTTTTTAATTAGAAAGTTGATATGTTGTTTATTCTGTTCTTTTTGCCAACATCTGTTTGTCCTTCGGTCACCCAGTAAATTCTTCATCTTAGCTTTGGATGGGTGGCTCCTTTACCTACACCCTTTTTTTTTTTTTCTCTTTCC